TTCCAATACAGCTGGGCAATCAACTCGATTCTGCAGAACGTCAGCAAACATAGCTCTTAGAGTGACGCGGCGCGTGTTGAGAGGTTCTACACACTTAGAAATTATCGCCGACTTCGGTAATTTTTACCACAATCTCAACAGCTAATCTGTTCGGTAAAATTTGGTCAATTAAATTTAATTGCTTTTAAGCTGCTAGTCGCCGAAATTTGTAGCGTTAAACTGACTCTATTCGCTCAACTCCATTTTGATAATATAAAATCTTTATTAGAATACATTCCCATAATGTCCACCGTGTAAGCAACAAAACTATCAATTAATACTGACACTTTCTGTCATCTCAAAGAATCAATTCAAATGTTGACGTAATGTTTATTGATGGTTGGGCCCGCTAGATATGTTTCACATCGAAAATGCGTCACACATACCAAAACGGCCATACCTACTGTGCATTTAAGGGGCAAGTTGATTCAGGAAACATTGCGTTGAAAGCATCTAACCTAGAAACGTTAAGTGATGCTCCATTTTTCGCTGATGGTTGAGACATGAGCACTAACTCTTGTCCTATCCTTTAATGGCTTATGGCTATAGCGCCATTACTTGCTTTCTGAAAAGGAAAGAGAGAAAGGAAAAGGACAAGGACAAAGGGAAAAGGATTATATGTACTCTATGAACATAAGCAATATTTTTGATTTGAAATATACAATATAAAAATTCATAAGGGAAGTCGTCACTACTCGAGTCTTAACAAGGCATAAATAGTAACAAGAACTAAAATGTATTCCTTTGATTACTGAAGAATCATGTTCCCCTAGTTTGAAGTTGTCAGCACTAGGGTTCGGTCGTAGATCTTATACCAGTAACGCACCATGAAAAGATCATCTACCAGCGTACTGGTTCCTTAAATAAACTTGATTTGCATATTTCAAACTTTAAACAAGCCCCAAAATTACGGAAAACATTTAATTTTCTTTAAAATCTTGACTCCTTTGCATCTATAGTTGCGGTAGTGTTCCTCTAATAGTGGAATTCATTAGAAACCAATGCGCTCCACTATTAAAGGAACCAAAGTTAGCAACTACCACAACTACTGGAACAGAGTTCCTTTTAATGGAGAACAAGTTTTCCCAAAAAAAAAAAGAATTAGAATTTAATCCCAATGTAATATGTTTCCAGCAAATTAGAGGTGGAAAGCTATAGATTATTTATCTTTTTAGGATAGGATTTTTTTGCTTTTTTCTACACCGCGTTATTCGAATGGGAGCTAGATACCCGGGTATCCCGGCGCACACATAACGGTCAATGATCTATCTATTTTAGCTGAATAAGAACTTTCGGGGGTCGAAAAGTATACAGTCAAAAACGAAAAAACTACCATCTTTCGGAACTAAAATATTTCTCAAAATAACGCGTGGGACCCTTCTTGATCATGGTCACGCATTTCGTTGATTTACACAAATTGAACGATTCCATCACTACACTTTATTAAATATTGAAATGTGAAGTAAGTTGTTATCCACTTTAGCATTGAAATTTAATCTTTAAAGAAAAACAAAACTTCTAACTGTTCAAAGCGTGCTCTGGCGTTTTATTTGGCAGTGGATATGGGGCGATTAAAATTAAACTTATTTAAGTTATCAGGATTTTTAAAAACACATTCCTGATTTTTGGGAGCATTTTGTTAACAAAATTTTAATTTAATTTGGTTTATTTAAAATTTAATTTGGGATCTGTGAGGTTAACACAGTTTTATCATTTTTTTTTTCTAATTAGGGATATTATTACTCTCTAATTCTTGCATGATTCCGGAGTAAAGATACAAAATTTGGACGATAATAAGTCTTCATATTGGTGCAGTATGTCTCTCCCCTTAGTTGAGGGGAGAAAAAGAAGCGCTGAGCTTCAAATCTACCTACGTAGCGTAAGAATCCGACAGGAGAGAAAGGGTTTCACACACAAATGTTATTACAATCGCTGTTCTCCAAGTAATTATGGTATAAAACTTGATCTTAGGTATAAGTTCATGGTAACTACAAAAACATTCTAGATACTTTTTTACAAAATTCATAATATTCATGCGTTTCTCATCCTTTGTTTGAAGACGTTGTTTGATTTTAGACCATCGTTACAAAAAAAAAAAGATTTCATTTGAGCTGGGTGTTTTCCTGAAACAAAATTTCCAAATTCGGAAAGCTTTTGAATTGACTGTATTTGCAATAATCACTAATGATAACAAAACAAACCGAAAACTCAAAATCGAGAGGAGATCTTTGCATTAATCGATTCTCAGTATCATGTGAAAGCTGACAAAACCAAAGTATTACAACTCGGATAGTTTCGCTTGATCCAAACTCCAAACATATAGACAAAGAGTTACGAAATGTCATTTTCAGTCAAGCAAAATGTGATATTGATTACCTGATTTATCCCGAATCAATCTTCTCCCTTCAAATCCATTTGAACTGTCCTGTCCAATTCTCTCCTCAATTGAATTGAATAACATCACAAACATGAAAAGCCGTTGAAGCCTTGAAACCACAATTTTGGAATGAGTTGAGCAGATCCAATAGTTGAATGAAGCGTTTTAATATGCTGAAGTTTTTTGACGACAATGATCCCCCCCCCCCCCATGAATTGTGGGTACAAAGTAGCAGGCAGAACTTGTTACACTCGTGTTGATATTCCTTGATGCCCTTTCCTGCCATTTCATAAGCTAATATAATTGTTGTTCTTAGGTACACAAGGGATAAGTTTGCTGTTCCCAGTAATCCTTCTGTTACTGTTTTAACGTTGTTTGTGTCACACCTACTTACTTACATAGTCCCAGAAAACAAATTAGTATTGTCCTTGTTTAGCATAGTACAAAGCGTTTCATTGTTATATTTATAGATGAATGCAAAACTGAAACCATAATAAAGCGAGTTGCTGATAAATTTGAACGCTGTAAAAATATGCTATCATATATACTTTTGCGTACAGTTGTATTTGCGATACATATAATCAGTAGATACGATACAGGCGAACTGTGATTACTTATGCAGTTACAAATATTGTTTTGTTATGTGTTGACCTTTCCATTCGAATCCGTGCTGCTCAAACAGTAAATCGAACCCAATTCGAACTTCCTGATGATTTAAACGAACCAAATCATCCCGTCATTGAAATCTTCTGTGCACTAGACTTCATGAGCGCAAACTTTTGTGGATGCTCCTTTGACGTGTTTCAGCTATGGGAACTCTATAAATTTTAAATTTAATCAACAACAGAGAGATAGCATTGAAAGATTCCTACAATTTGCAATATATGTACTGTTTTGTGACTTTGTGCAGCTAGTAAAATATAAATTTGTGGTAGCGTAAATTTTAGTTGATTTGATCTTGAAAAAAAAAACTGAAATCTAGATCTGCTTTCGGTTGGATTGCTAAGTGTGATATTTATGCGCGATTTCCCTTGATCACAATCTCATCTCAAGCTCCTTTGATCCTTTTCCCTTATATGCTCCGATACACGTTGGTTTTGAAACAAGCAAAACCGTGCAAAGTCACCGATTCTACTTCAATCAGGATAGGATTTCAAGAAGGGATTATCCCATGTTCTGCACTGGCCTGCTGGGATGTGTTTACTCAACGTTAAAATTTCGACAGTTCTATTCTTCAAGCTTATTTCGAGTGAAAATAGGTCTTCATTTAGTCAATTCAAATAGTTTTGAAAACTATGACACCCTAGAGAGTTACAAGTTTTAAAGGAGTTCAAAATAAACAGTTTGTTTGGCCCCCAACCATGATAAGCTCAATGTAATATACCTATATATAAACATATAATCGCGAAAGCTTGTCGGTAACGCTAATATCTTTCTTTTTTTTTTGGCAAAAGCAAAGTTAGAGAATGAGACTATGAGTGTGTAGGTAAGTGAATTATCCGCCAGGACGTGAGAATTGGAGAGAAGTAAGATAGTGAGAAAAGAAGTGAGCATATTAATGCATCGAATTTTTCCGAGCAACGCCAGGGATCTTCAGCTAGTTATAAATATAGAAAGAAATACAAAGACTCAACAATGAAACTCTATAAAATTCTTAGTTGGCTAATATTTCCGACTAGCATGTTAAAATGATTCCACCCCATTTGAAACCAGAGTTTCATCTGAATCATCTTAGAGGTTCATTGTTCTTTCTTTTCCAAACAACCTAGCAGTGTAGATACCATATTGGTAAAAAAGTGCAGTATATGGAATAATCCCAATCATTTGTTGATACCCTGTAATAAACAATCAAAAGACTTCGATGAGACGCATGTTGAGCGCAACACTTGCAAGATGGCATACATTTTAAATTCAACACCCGGTCTGAAATTCCTACATTTAGGAAGTACTTGTAAATACCAACTAATTTCAACTGACAACACCTTACACATTTCCGAGTTTTGTCACACACGTCAAGTAAATGACTTAACCAGAGCAGAAGGTTACCAGTTGAATTCCAACCTCCAAAAACCCTTACCAGAATAGCATCAGAGTCAAAAGCAGAGAAAGGAAATCCAACAAACAAACTCCAAACCTTTTCCCGCTAATCGTTCTTTGAATATATAAACCCAAAACAACTGTAAATGCTATCTTTTAGAAGCACGTAGAAACATTATAACAGAAAAGAAACCAAAACTATTTAAAACCTATATACATATATTGTATTTTCGCTGCTGGTTTTAGAGAATCAAAAAAGCATGATATCCTGAAGATGTCTTTTTTGGTTTTTATTTATTATATTTTTATATATATATATATTTAACTGTGCTGCTAGACCAATATATTTATTTAAACAATAAACCAATATTAGCTTTCTGCCCAGAGCTGCTCCCCAAGCAGTTACCATAGTGATAATGCTCTACAATGTCGGTTTTCTCTCTGTTTTCCATCTCTTTTTTCACTTTTCTGTTGCCTTGGTTTCCCCTTATAAACATTAAAAAAAAAACCTCCCGTCAATTTCAACCATCACCATGACATCACACAGGATAACAAGCTGGGAGACATCTGCTTCTCGCTGCGCTACGTACCCACTGCAGGTAAACTTACCGTCGTGATCCTGGAGGCTAAGAACCTGAAGAAGATGGACGTCGGTGGATTGTCAGGTAGGCATCTTTGACCCAATCAAAATAGCAAAAACAAACTGTCAACTGTCCAACTGTCAAATTTAGCATTTTTAACTTAACTATACATGTAACATATTAACCACACTGGCTATGAATATATATCATGACGAATGTTAACTAACGAAATTTCCCTTCTTTTTTCTTCAATTGTAGATCCATACGTAAAGATTGCACTGATGCAGAACGGAAAGCGTTTGAAAAAGAAAAAGACTAGTATCAAAAAATGCACACTAAACCCCTACTACAATGAGTCGTTCTCATTCGAAGTTCCTTTCGAACAAATACAAGTATGCGAGAATGTATTATACTATCATATAAAAATTCTGTGTTGTGTTGCATGTTTCTATACATGCCGTACTGTATATATATATTGAGCGTTTTCTCCTGCATAGAGTTTATTTCTGTACATGTATGAATCGAATTTAAAACTTACGTTGAAATAATGTAACAATATGGAACACGCCACATTTGATATTTGTCTTCACGAATCGATGGGAGTCGGATTTTAGTTTTGTCCGATTCCATCGTGGAGGAACAATAATTACATGCATACATTTAAACTTACCCAGAAAGCATGCATCCCACTGTACAAGACTTCGATACATACGCCCCAACTTCCCAAAATAACAACTCAAAATGCTTCGATAGCGTCCGTTGTGCTGGCTTTGATTTCGGACAACGGAGCATTTACAGACCAATCGGATACATCAAACACTAAACAATGTTCACAGACATTCAGATGGTATCACACGAAATCGATTCCAAACTAATAAAAACACCCGAAAGTTGTAACACAGTGCAACATCTATTTGTCTGTGGCATGAAATCTGTTGTTGTAGCATTGTAAAAATTTGTCATGTAGTTCATGTTTATGATTTTCGTTTCATTTTTCCATGTTTTCTGTTCAAATGGCACTAACACTTCGTGGGCGCATTAAGCTTAGCACAGCCTACTGTGTTGATCCGATGCTTCAAGGTTGCTTAGATGAACGTTGTTTTAGTGTCATTTTAGTTTTGTGTGAATGCTTTCCATGAAAGAAGAAAAAAAAAATGCTGGAAATGCTTTGTTGTTGGATGAAAGATATAATTAACCGCGGAACCGAATCCAGCACAGCCTTTCTCGTATACTGTAGTTTTGTGTCTATCTGTATATAAAATCCCAACAATGACGGATAATTACCATAATATTGTTTATGTATGTTTGTACTAGAGACAACCAATGAATCTCTACTTCTGTGAATTTCCAACTCTTTCAAAACTCCTTTCTTACTTTAAGTTTCCTCTGGTTAAATGAGAAACAATCGTTTAAAATGTTTCAAAACATTTCTTCAATCACTTGCATTTCGGAGAGTAAGAACCCTAACATTTGACACTGCAGTAACATACTCAGGATAGATACTCAACTCTGAGCACGCCCCATTCCAAAATCACATTTCGAGGAAGCGTGACATTTTTTCGACACTTCTTTTATCTAGTTCAAACCAAGCAATCAAAAAAAAAAAAAACCACATCAACATCACACATGAATAAACCCAAAGGATCACACTACCTAACCGCAAAGCCAGGAGATCTCGTGTGGAAACAGAAGCGTGAGCACATTCCAATCCTTGGGCAAATATGAGAATATAGAGCGTAACCGACTAAGTATTATCAATGTATTTTTTTCTTTTACTAAGAAAAAACTTCTTTTTACATACTAATCTTCCTTCTCTTTTATGAACCAAGAAGCTTCGTGTTCCTAACAGACCGTGTAAGGAGAGTGTTTCCGCACTGGAAGTCTTGCCGTTTATATCGTTTTCCTTTGTCTACGTATTCGCTCATTCTGATAACATATAATGTAATTTGTCAAACGTTTTGTTGTTTCATCTTCCACTATTTCGTTACTTTCAAGACAATCTTTTCGTGCTACCTGTTGTTCTTATCAAATTTCTCCCAAAACAAAGATTGACGCGAAATATTTAAATATTTTGTCACTTGGAATGGAAACAAACGAAACAAACAAATGCATTTGCTTAACTTTGACAAAAAATAACACAGTTTTGATCGAGTATCAATACATTTCCGTTTACAAGTATTTCTAGAAACAACCGAAAAGAAATATACCAACACAAAATAAACGAGTAGGATTTTACACTAAAATACTTGAAATGCCAAATCATCATCATCAACCCCTATTATAGGTGCGATAGTTTTTCAATCTTAACCAGTCGTTTAAGTTGACGCTTAATGTAAATACTATCCCACCTATACGGGTATCCGTGATGATCAAAAAACAAAGCGGAGCGCGCAACGGTGTCTGCATGGACACTTATCCCCTTTCCAACATAAACAAAGATAACACGTCGATGCAAACACCTACAACACGCACATCTGCATAAACATAAAAAAATATACAAATAACTAAAACTCCCCTCCAGAAGGTAACATCTATCTCTCTATCTATCACTATTTTTGTTTTTTTTTTTTTTTAAGACTTCACAGAAGAAAAGAAATTGCAAGAAAATGGTTCAACGGGTTGAATTCTCCGCCAGCGACTCCGTTGAACTGTTTTCTTGTTTCCAAAAACGGCGGAAGACTTTCTCAACGGTTGCTTAGATCCAAGGCAGTTTGGCATGCACTGCCCCATCAACGTGTCATAGATCTGTTTAGTTGGATTTGCATGGAATGTTTTGTATTATTTCCCTATATCCACCCACTAGGTCCTACATATATGAACCAGACGTTGTCTTTTCTTCATCGGGGCGTTTCGATTTGCTTATTTATAGACTGTTACTGCGTTTGACAAGCGAATGGAATAGGTTCAAAAGGCTGTCCATTAACAGCTGCGGTAGTAAAGGGATCACTATTTTTATGCATACATAGTTTATGGACGATATGTTCAATTCAAAAAATTGTTGGTTCATGAACAGAAAAGAATGTTTTTTTTTTCATAGGAATATACTATAATAGAATAATTCAACTAGCAATTACATGTACCTATTTCTTAGAGGTGGTTTTCCAGCAATATGGTCTACAACGCGTGGACCGAATGTTTATGGGTACAATAGACCAAAGGGGCTGCCAAAGTAGTACGATAGCGACTCTTGATATAGAATGATTATTTTTATTTATTGTATTTGATTATAGCGAAGATAACATATCCAGAAGACTGGCCACCCATCAGATTACTTAGACCGTTCGCAATGCTGAGTTTCAAAATTGTTTCAAACTACTCGTCAATTCTATAATTTGAAACTGTCAAAAATAAAACTGCAACACGATCAGCGCAACGCACAGTTCTAAAACATGTTTGTAATCATCAAGTTCCATAAACTTTACTGTTCTCTAATGAAGTTCTCCGTTTTTTTTGTGGAGCTCTTCGAAACATCTTCAACACATCCAAAGAAATTTGAAACAGAGTTCCATTCGTGTTTCAAACTCGCTCAGAAATAAAACAGAATAGTCGAGCAGTTGCAAATCTGGTGCAAAATAGTGCTCGAATAATGAAACTGCAACTCAGCATTGCGAGAGGTGCGTTTCTGTTCTAGTTTCAAATTGAAACAGTCCTTATAAAATACAACAGCATTGCGAACGGCCTTACACACTCCAATCGAATTTGAAAGCAAAGACCCAACCTAAAACGAAAGGTTTGCGTATTTGCTCTCATTTCTATCCGGTGGTTTCACATTTGCTCAAGAACTATTGTATTTGTCCCATGGATTCTGGCAGAGTGGTCAGTCTTTTTGATATGTAATCATCGATTATTGCTACTGTGAATGAAATTATTTGTCCCATGGTTGTAAAAGAAACATTAGATAAATTATTATTATAGAACCGTTTTAGTTAGCGCAATCAGACATAGTTTTAAGATTTTAGTCCCTTACAAAATTAATTCATGGATGAATTTAAATATATTAAAAAAACACATAATTTACATTGATATTCCGTAAGTACATAGGGCGATATCAAAAACAATGACTTAATTAGTAAAATCCTGGAGTATTATAAACCCTCTAGTCATCCCACCTGCGCCATTAAACGGGGGATGATAATCTCTATCCGGTTTTTTTTCTCTTCGATAAATTTCGCTTTACGATGACGCCAGAATTCTTTCACATCGCAGTTGGCCTGCGTTCAATCCCAACTGAGGTCTTTGGGATTCATTGAAAAATCGCTTGTCACGTCCCATGCTGATGGGTTCGATATGTATGGTCAGTAATTGGAAAATTAACAATAACTAAAAAAAGAGTTTGAAGTCATTGTTTATTTTTGGAAGCTACACATTTAGAAAAAAAAACTAATTTGATACGTGCCGTAATTTTATATTTGACGTAAAAATGAAACGTAAGCAAATTCGTTATGTAAGATTAAGGGCTCAGAGATCGAAAAAAAGGCAACGCAGGAAAACATCCGATTGATTGAAGTAAAACTTCATATCTTTTACGCTTCAATGTCGATGTCAAATCATAAGTGACGCTTGTCAGCCTAAGAACACCTAAATTTACATGATTTGTTGTGTGTGCAGGTTCTTATGAAAATCAATCCGGAATGGGGAAATGTAACTTTTGACAAATTCTCTGTGATGTCCCGGGTTGGAAATACTATTTGCATACACACTTCTTCTTCTTCTTATTCGCATTTCAAGCTTATTGCTTAGTATGGAACGGTTCGACTGGGAATTGATGTGTATTGTGAATGGCTGTTCAGTCTCGACAAAATCAAAATACTGCTATTTAATTTTTGTCCAACGTTTCGGTCCGTTTGGTCCCTGAAGAAGGTCCCAAACGGACCGAAACGTTGGACAAAAATTAAATAGCAGTATTTTGATTTTGTCGAGACTGAACAGCCATTCACAACGCTTATTGCTTAGCGCATATTAGCTTATTGCGTGCTCTCAACTTAGTGTTCTAAATGCACTTCCACACTTATTAATTGAGTGCCTTCAATGCCAATACCAATGCATGAATTTGTATATTGTGTGGCAAAAGCACAATGATACTCTATGCCCAGGGAATTCGAGGAAATTTTCAACCTGAAAGTTTCCCTCTACTGGAGCGGGATTCGAACCCGCCACCTCCGGCTTGGTAATACCGTGACTTTACTGACTAGGCTATGAGGCCCCATATGCATACACACTTAGAAATATCTAATCTTACACGTGACGGAATCCATCTTTGACATAAAGGATGAGACGTAAACAAACATGTCATGTAAAATTTAGTGCTCAGAGACTGAAAAGTTCGAAAGTACGTTTGATTGACCTGAATTTCGCGTCATTTATGATTCAATTTTATGTCAAAATAGACGCT